GGCATCAGTGCAGCCAGACGAGCGCTCGCAAATGTCACTGTCAGCGAAATCACTGCTGCTGCTGGAAATGTCAGTGGGGTTTGAAATTGATCGTTATTTTCATTATCATTTATTATTATGTCAATGTCAGATGCCGCAAGTGTTGGTCAGTAACTTTTGTCTTCCCTCCTGCAGTTTGTGTTTTGTTGAGTTTGTTGATCGTGGTCTCTCCATGCTCCTCTTAGATGCAGATGCCAAGCCTGGTTTCTGCTGAAGGTCTCTTCCTGTTAAAATGGGGCTCTTCCTCTCTACTATCGCTAAGCTCCTAGGTGTTTGCTCATGTGGAATAGTCTGATTGTTGGCTATTGTTATTGGTGCTACATAAATTAAGAAAATCAACTAAATTATGAGTTTTTCTATTAATTTATTTTGTGTTATCACCTCCAACCAGTCACGGCAGATGGCCCCGCCCCTCCCTGAGCCTGGTTCTGCTGCAGGTTTCTTCCTGTTAAAAGGGAGTTTTTCCTTCCCACTGTTGCCAAGAGTTCACCCAAAGGGGGGTGTTGATTGTTTGGGTTTTCTTTCTGTTACTGAAGGTTCTTTACTTTATGACATACTACTCCTTGAGGCGAGTGTTGTTGTGTTTGGTGTTATATAAATCAAATTAAATAGAAATTTTTAAAAAAGGTATCAAAAAAGCAAAATTTGCTTTATCCGAGTCTATCATTACATTTGCTGAAGTGTACCAGTAATGACAGAGGTAGATACTTCAGGTTTTGTTGTCACGTCATTTAGGAGCTTGTTTGATTGGTTTTGACATTTTCTTTCCAATTAAGTAGCTTAAAGAATAATATAACTCCAGTTTGGCGTCACTCTGTACAAAAATGACATGCAGAGAAATTAAGGGGATAAGAGTAATTACACAGCAGGAGCATGCAGGTGGATGCTGGAGTGGTGGTGGGGTTAAACCATCAGACGGAGATGCAGAACAGGCTAATGATCACTTATAATCACTGTCTATTCTAAACACGTGTGTGGAAAGAATATTATATAGTTATGTAATTAAATATTTTAGACATTTGAGTTTTTAAAATTCATAATCACTTACAGCAAAAGAAAAGAAAATCTCACATGAAGGGTGCTAAGCTACATTTTCACCAGAAATAAATCAGCCGAGCAGCTGAAGTTATAACATTTACCTGGATTGTGTTTTTTAATAGCTTTAATTCGACTTGTTTTTATTTGCTTAAATACTGACTAACTGTAACAGTAAGATAATTACAGGCAGGACTAGCTTAACAGTTGTAGGATATGTCTAAAAACATCTTAAACACCCCTCCATGGTTAGGCTCACAGGAAGCAGAGGTCTTTAGTTTGCTATTCATGATACTAGGCCAGCTTTGACCACACTAATAACAGATCCAAAGTGTGAAACAACAGTAAAGTTGAGGGCCAGAACTGAACAGAACTGTGAACTGAAATTCACTCTAAAGCCAAATGAATCTTCAGTTTCAGAGATTAGAATAACTGAAATATCAATTAACCAGTAAATCAGTAAATATGGCTCGATGAGACACCTCAGGCTCTGTTTTGTGTTTTTCTGCTTTGTGTTTTCTTACCAGCTTGATCCCTTGTACAAACGGCTCTGAGTTGGAGGTCTCTGCGCTGGCTGAGGGCGGCGTCGGGGGGGCACTGCTGCGT